TCTCCGAAACGACTGAACGGATTTAAAAACGCTTTTACAGAATTGAAATAGACATAAAATGTCATCGCGCTAGGTATATATGAGTAGTAAAAACGAAAAAATATTAAAAAATTACCTTTTTTGGGGGATATCATAATCTGTCACCTGACGTAAACATTTTATTGGTACAAAAGTTCTGCAACTCATATGTATGTATAACAAAAGTACCTAACGCGCATCGGATTACTTGCACGAATAATACAAGACGTTTTGAGCTACGATTGGAAGCATAGAAAAAAAGTTGTTCATTAGAATGCAATTTGTGGCAATTTGTACGTTCGGCTAAAGTAAAGACAGCAAAAATTGCGTCTGACAATAAGTGCCGGATTTTCCAAGAGATGGCACTTCAATTAGTTAAATAAAGACATTCCACATGTTTGAGTGAGACCAGAAGATATTGTAAGAAATTTATTTAGAGATACCATTGACACTGAAGTCTACTTTATCGACCTCGTGCAAATTTTTCCGACCTTCCAGCATCGCCTTAAACCAAGAGTTAATTTTAACCAAATAACCTTTTCCTTTAATTTGTTTTTTTGTTAAGTGTTGTACGATTTTTTTTTCATCAAGTTATTCAACATTGAAGCAAAAAAGGTCATCTTTGCTTTAATGTTGAATAACTCGGTGAAAAAAAATCGTAACGCTCAACAAAAAAGCAAATTAAAGGAAAAGATTCATTCTTTCGAAACTGTACATCGCGTTTGTGTGCGATTTTTATTCCACGCCATAGAACTTTGCAAAGTTAGGAAAAAATTTTGCGATTTGTCATATCTCTATTTGTATCAATGCGACTCCGAAATAAGTCAGTTAATGGTTTTTTTAAATATCAACTTGAAAAATGGAGATTTTAATCTGTAAAATGCTTTTTTAGAAATCTTGTTACGATCATTTTTGACGAAGTTGTTGTATCGTGAGATTTGCCTATTTTTAGAGTACAGGTGATGTTTTATAAATTTTGTGGCGTAGAGTATTTTATCTCAAAAATTGAAGTAGACAGGAGAGGTGACCTTTTTGAGAATGCCCCCTATGTATCTTTTTTAGATTTTATTCTTATTTGCATATATTTATTTATAAAAACAACTTTTAATACCATGTTGTAATTCCAATCGTACATACGGGAAATATATATAAACGCAATGGAACTCGTTTACCTTTTGACATTAAAATACATAACATTAAATCGTCTCTTTTCTCCTAAAAAGTTAGAAGAGAAAGAGAGTGATGCATCGCTTATTACGTTGCTTTGAGTGGACAATCAGGTTGATTGTTGGGATGAGTTTCAGTAAAGGCCGGATGGTGTTCCAAATGACGGTCTACTCTCAGAATCATGGGAAAAGGTTTCAAATCAACGTGAAATTTTCGTGCATTATATACCTGTGGCACCAGACAACAATCTGCTAACGTTATCTCATCGCCGACGCAATATTTGCCCGCGCTCGACGATAACAACTTCTCCACG